TGCTTTCAGAGTCTCTCTCTGTGTCCCAGGCTGCAGTTCAGTGGCATGATCGTAGCACACTGCAGCCTTGATCTCCTGGGCTCAAGTGTTCCTCTCGCTTCAGCCTCCCCAGTTGCTGAGACTGCAGGTGCACCACTGCCATACTGAGTTAATTTTTTTACCTTTTGTAGAGACAGGATTTCACCATGTTGCTCAGGCAGATCTTGAACTCTGGGTTCAAGTAATCCTCCCACTTTGCCTGCCTGAAGTGCTGTGATTTCAGGCATGTGCCACCATGCCCAGGCCCATTCTCATCATCTTAAAATTGAAGACTATTTTGGAGGTCACACAAGAACCTGCTATTCAGTTTGGGCTGGAATCATCCCAAAGGCAAATGCCATTTGCAGATGAGCTGACACTCTTTTGCCTTGTTAGGTGACATAACCCTACTGGGCCATCAGCTGCAGGCTCCTCAACCTGCGTCTAGCCTCTAACTTCTACCCCAGAGACTATCCGACATGCTTGCCACTGACCCACTCCCAGGGTCAATCCGATTGTTCCTGAACAATCTTTGGTGCCACCCCCTTTGGATGAGATGCTTGTCCTAACTGTTAGATTGGAGGAGAACATCATCCAATGAAATAAGGCCAGGGCACCCACCCAGCTCTGGCCTGTTGGGACCCATAGCAGAATTTCCAAGGTTCCCCAGGGCAGCACAGCCACCACCATGATAAAGGCAAGAGACATCAGCTGCCACCATGTCCCAGGACAGACTGGTAGCCCATAAGACTGGACAAGGGGCACTGTCTATTATGAGTTCTCCGGAAGCAGATCCTAACTTGAGGAAAAGCCAATCTATAAAGAATGTAGACAGAGGCTGTTGACTGGGGGTGGAGCTTCAGAGCAGGGATGGGAAGTGACTGCAAATTGGCATGAGGGGTATTTTGGGGTAGTTCTAAAACGGCGATAGTTGTACAACTCTGAACTTGTTAAGAATCAGCAAATTGTACAGTTAGAATAAGTGAATCCTATGCTATGTAAATTATAGCTCAATAAAGATGTTAAAAAATATAAGAATGCATTTCAAAAGTAGGTAAGTGGCTAACAAACCGAGCCTTGTAAACTCCCAGCCTAGACCCCGCCCCACCTTGGACTGAAGTTGCTTCACTTGGATCTCGGTCCTCTGGGAGACGTCATGCCTCTGTCAACTGGTATTTTCATCTTTGTTATATTCACAGCAAGTCCCCTGCCTATGGAGATCATTTAATAATTATTTGGTGAATTGAACTCTGGTGGATGGATGCATTTCCCAGGACATCAAAATGATGCCTTAAAGAAAGGTTTAACAGAGCCCTTCCTCCCAGATTGCTCCTTGCATGTGACTCATTCACAAGCACTAGGAAAAGTGTAATGACATGGCTGTGAAAAAGAGACAAGACATTTACCTACAGACCCAGCAAGTCAATCTGCAGGAGAAAAATATCCGCAGTGCATTGCACCATTGCCTCCTGATTTCAGGCGAGATGGCAGTGCCACTCCAGAAGAACAGCCGTCCCCACCACCTGCTGCCCAGTAAGGCCAGAGGCAGCAGGCCCCTCTGCTGAAACTGTGAGATTACAGCCCACGTGGCTGAACTCGCAGACAAAGAGGAGGGCTGGAGCTGCTTTTCATTGTAGTCTGAGTGTTATTGTGCATCTCCTTGTGGAACAACATTGATTAAACATAGCCTTCATCCTGATCCAAATCTGCCATTCACCCTCTCAAAAGTTCCTAAAGAGCTAGGACGTTGCACCCTCAGGACTATGCACAGGAAGGAGGGTATGGTAATCATCAGGGGGAAAAAATTATCTTAGAAGAATATAAATTGTTTCTACTCCAGAGATTTGCTGAAAAGGGGGAGAGAAGTCATGTAAAAAGAGATGAATTTATTAGACGTTCTTAACCTAGGAGGTCCCCAGTCTGTTCCTGATGGGTAGTTTGGTAAACCAGGAACACAAGAAGGTTGGGTAGAGTGTTAGGCTTTGATGTCAGAGAGATCTGCATTTGGATCCTGGCCCCACCCATAATTAGCTGCCTCAGCGCTAACCTCCCTGGATTTCAGTTTTCTCACTTGTACAGCTGAGATAATAATGAAAATTTTCTCAGCTGGATGCGGTGGCACACACCTATAGTCCCAGCTACCCAAGAGCCTAAGGCAGGAGGAGTTCAAGACCAGACTGGGCAATATAGCAAGATCCCATCTCTACAAAATAAAAACTAAAAAACTATCCAGGCATGGTGCTGTGTGCCTGTACTTCTAGCTATTTAAGAGGCTGAGAATGGAGGATTTCTTGAGCCTGGGAGTCCAAGGCTGCAATGAACCATGATTGTGCCACTGTATTCCAGCCTGGGGAACATAATAAGACCCTGTCTCTAAAAAAATAAAAATAAATAAATATATTTTAGTTAAAAAATAATAATTTTTTTCACTTGGGGTCATTGTAGGTTTTCAATGAGAGGCAATACCATGACAGGGACATTGTGTAGGAGGTAACGAAGTGCTGCTGAAACCCCAGAGATGAACATTTCATTCAGTTAATATAATGGAGGCCCTGGCACACGCTGTCATAAAATAACATGGGAAGGCTCAGTGTTTCCCAAGTCCTTTCCACTGGGCTTGTACCAATCACTTTCACACTACAGCCTGCAGAGTCAAGGAACAAGAAACAGAGTCTCCATGTGATATTCAAATGCAAACGGACTTTTTGAGGGTATTATGTACTAGCCAGAACCTCCAAATTAGTATCTGTGACTCTGCATTTCGAACATTAATTCAAATGACTGCTTTCTTTTTAAGCTTGTACCTGCCGAGATTAAATCCTGACTTGACTCAGTCAAGTGCCCGATAACTTACCAAATACTTGATGCTTGCTGAATTTTAATTGATTTAAGTGTTCTCACAAGTTCACCAACATGAATTCTTGAAAAGAAAGTATATTATAAAGAGTTTTAAGGTTCATCCATAAATGGGCTGTGGTGTTGACCCTTTCCTCCAGAAATTGGGAAGGGGGTCCTGGAGTGGCAGAACCGGGTGGTCCATGCTGGAGAAGCAGATAAAGGCAGTCTGCAGAGAGAGGAAAAAACCCTACACAGACAGAACGGAGAAACCCTCATGGGTGAACCGGAGCCTGAGAGAGAACTTAGCTCAGCTCTGGGTCACTTTCCAGGCCAAGCCTGTCTTTCTCATTTTGGTTATTTGAGAAACCTTTCCCACAAAACCTCTCTGTGGGCTGAGCCAGGAGGAGTAGATTGTGTTGAAGACCCACGGGGGCCCATATGGGATAGGCATCTGGGACCACTGGAAGTCAACTTTGCTGTCGGCCCTGGCCTTTCTCACTTCTTAGTGCCCTTAGATTGTGATTCACTCTCACTGTATTCTCCAGCTGAGGCACCCTTGCTTCAGCAAAAAGAGAATATTTCTTCCTCATCTCCCATCCTCCTGGTATCAGAGAGTAGAAGAGTTAGATTACAAGGAGATAAACAATAAACCAGAAAGAGGCTTTGAGGTTTACAGGGAAATTATCACTGAATAAGTGAAAAGTGAAGTATTCTTTAGATGTGAGGAGACAGCAAAGGAGGAGCAGAAATATAATAGATATAACCAGAGACACAGAATCGAATCATAGAAATACAGCAAATCAAGTGACAGCCAGAAATCGTTACCATCTGACCTCACAAACTGCCACATCTCAAGTACTCAGTCTTAGTGAGAATACGTTCTCCCTTCCATGCAGGTACTCAGGTCAGAGAAGCACCATCACACCAGAGTGTATGAAAGAAGTCTTCACGCTCAGATAACCCAGCACACACATCTTCAGATTGTGAGTCCATGCACTCCATCCTCACACTGTGCCTGACAAGCAGACAATGAACCCTGAGCCACAGTTCTCACCAAGCGATCACACCATGGCTCCCAAGACACCCAAATTCCCTTCCACCACCTGTGCTCTATTTTTGGATACATATGAACCATGACTACCCCACCCTCACGGTATGGCCATTTGTGGGGCACAGAAGGAGAAGATGGAACTTGGTTAGGATTACTAGCTTTCGAAGCAACTTTGAGAGTTCGAACTGGATAGGTCCAGACAATTGAATTTATAGGTCTGAAGCTCAAAGTAGGGCAGGAAGTAGAAAGTTATGGGCATGCATTTACCATTCTGGAAGATGGTGTAGAATAAAGATAGAGGAAAGCCTTGGTTTGAACTTCAAGGAATTCACTTAAAGGTCATGCACAACCTGGCTAATATAGAGACTAGAAAAATAAAAAAGGTAGAAGAAAGTGGGAAGTTGGAAGCTAAAGCAAGAGATTGTTTCAATAGAGAGTGTGGTCGTCAGTGTTGGAAACTGTTGTGAGGATTAAAATTGTCTGCTAGATTCAACAATCTGACATCACTGGTGATCCTGGAATGAACTGTTTTAGTGAAAGGAATGGCAGATTGAAACTCACCAGGTGTTGAGGGAGTACAGGCAGGGGCAGGAGTAAGTGGGTTTCGACATGTCTTCAGAGAGCTCTGGCTTTGAAATGTGAGGGGAAATACAAAAAGCTCCTTTGCATAAAAAATAAAGCCTAACATATCCTAAAGATTATAATGGAGATGATGATTGAGAACAGCACAAATGAAACACCATTTCATCCTATAAAAGGCTAGGGAGGAGTTGATTAGATTTGAACTCACATCTCTTTGACCTAAAAACCACGGTTGGGCAAGAGAACTTATGAGACCACGCATATGTGCATTAACCTAAATAACTGTGGTATGTGAAGACAGGGGTATTATTTAGGATTTGTTCGCTCTTGTTTCTCTAGTTCCTTGAGGTCTGACCTTAGATTGTCTGTTTGTGCTCTTTGAGACTTTGTGATGTGGGCATTTCATGGGGTGAACTTCCCGCTTAGCACTACTCTTGCTGTATCTCAGCGGTTTCCATAAGTTGTGTCACTATTACCATTCAGTTCAAAGAATTTTTAAATTTCCATTTTGATTTCCTTGCTAACCTAAAGATCATTCAGGAGCAGATTATTTAATTTCCATATGTTTGTCTACTTTTGAGGGTTACTTTTGTCTACTTTTGGAGTTACTTTCCAGCTTTATGAGGGGTATGAGGCAGGCTCGATTCCCTGAATATTTTGATCTCTTGCAGTTTTCCAGCGGCCATCAAGGCAGCGAAATTTCCTGCTGCAGCCAAGCAACCACATAATACCCAAGAGGAAGCAGAAAGCACAGGCATTAATATAAGCACATGTGACCAAAATGCAACTGGAGCATACTAAACAAGAGCTTTATTTGTGGCCTCCAGCATGGGCTGGGCTGTGCCAACTGTAATTCTCCCGTGCACGAAGAACCACAGAACCATGCAGAATCTTTGGCTGTGCACAGGTCCAGTTGCATATTTTGTAACCCTTTTAGTGACGTTTTTCAATATTTAATCTCAAACTAAAATTCTTAATTGTTTACTGTTGTTGTCGCTAAAATGTAATAATAACCCATATGGAAGTCCCACCTCTTAGCAGTAGAGAAAGGACCAAAGTTAGAAGTGCAGAATTTCTCTTGAAAAGCTATGCTCTGACAAAAGAAATACTGCTTTGTCTGCATTACATCTAATAGCTATTTTAAATGCTCACATAAACACATGGATTGATGAGGAAGGGAGCTGTCCATCTCCATTGCGGTGACACTAATGCTTAATGGCAACACTGACAAATACATAGTTCATTGATGTCAAGGGATTTTAGTTAATCATGAAGAAAAGTGGGAAAAGGATATAATGGAAAACAAAGATGAGATGTTGACTTGCAGATGCTATTGACCTCGAACCACGCCCTGACAACCGTAGAGGCAGAAATAAAACCACTGGGACCAATCACAAGAGGCAAGTAGGTAATCCAGTTAACAGGAGGTAGACCAGATAACTGAAATGTCAGCTTCACGGACTGACCTTCGATTACCCCATGGCAAAGGAAAATATTGAGAAGTCTATTGATCTTGTATTCTTATTCATGAAAACAGCAATTGGTGAGGTGATTACAAGGTTTGAAAATGTGACGGCAATTTACAAGTTCAAGATATAAACAAGTGAAGAAAAGGCCTTGAGAAGAGCCATGTATCAAATCTTCTAAGCATGACTTGATTTGCTTTAGAAAGAAGATGCTGAAATGCTCTAGCCCAGTGATGCAGGCAGTGAGACCTGACAGCTTAGGGGCTGAATGAAGAGGAGAGGTCGTTCTCCACCTTCAGGTCATTGCCATATTGTTTTTTCCCGTTGCCAAAAAAAGAAAAAAGATAACCCCAATCCAAACAAACAATGTTTGTACATGATGAAGGGCCTATCAGTTGGTCATTTTCTCAGAACAAATAGGAAGGGACAGACTGCCACAAAATAAGGCTATTATCCCCCTGAGCAAAGCTCATTTGTTTCAACTGGTAGCCTCCATCCCTAAGCCCACAACCTGGGCTGACACAGATAATGCCTCAAGGCAGGCTGCCCCTCACATAGACACAAGAATCTATTCAGCAAATATAAGCAAATGTAGGTCCCTTTATCTCCCAGGATAAAGCCAATACCAATCCTCTGCTGGAAAAATTAAAAGACAAAATTTTCCACCACTAATCAAATCTCTTCCACATAATGAACACCGCTGTCTTCCAGGGCAACTGTGATTATGTCTGTTTTCCAAATGAAATCCTGAGAAAGTGATAACAATGAAAGTGTCACAGACACCCAGGGTTTTTTTCCTATGTGATGGCCATTTGCTTTGTTGTTTACAGTAAGTTGATGAGGCAGACAGGATGGAAATACGAGTTTAGGGATTTGGGTTATCATACTGCTCCTGAAGTCAGATGATGTGCATTCAAACTGAACACACACCTCTAGTGACCTTCAGCAAAGTTCTCAACCTTTCTGTGACTCAGTTTGCTCATCTGTAAAGAAAGAGGATTACAGTGAGAATTAAATATGATGATGAAAGATCCTATACAGTGCCTGGCATTTAGAAGTGCTCAATAGTTTGCAGCCATCATCATTCCACCTGTCACCCCTGTGGTTGTTACCGCAGACGAGGCAACGTGGCTGATATCCCTGAGATCCCGAGGTCAGAGATGCAACCACAGGCAGAATCCACAGTTCCTGATTCCAATCTATTGCCCCTTCCCATCTACTATAGAAATAACATCAAAACAGCAAAATCAATTTCTAAAAGGTGGGAATAACGTGTAAAATATGTTTTTTAAATGAATGAAAGTCAAAGTGATGTACAAAAGAGGAGAAGTGTGATTTGAAGCTTGAGCAAAGGCTCAGAAAGGGTCCTGATTTGTCCTTAGTTCTGTCCTACACCATGTGATGATGAATTTGAGATGTCAAGATGCTAGATGCCCTTCCTACCCCCAAATGAAAAGAGGGAGTGGTTGATCCTCTGCATCAAAAGGGACAATAACAGGAGGAAAGAACTGTGCTGTGATCTGCCATAGAGATCCTTCACATACTCCCAGGAACCGAAGTCATACCCCAAGGGGATACATTTTTTCTTATTAAGCAATGTTGCTGGTTTGTCTTAAAATGAATCTATTTTCTGTCGAGTCTTGAGACTATATCCCCATATTTATTTTTTAGAGACCCAAATAATATTTCTAAGGGTCTCAATAAACTAAAATTTTTCCAAAATATAACTAGAATACACCTAGGAGAAAAAAAAATCAAAACAAAATTCTACACATAGCTTCAAGCTCGCTCTTTTTTGAAATTCTTTAGAGCTGATGCTGAACCCAGGAGGTGAATTTCATAGCCTTTAAAATCACTCCATTCACCTATTCAATAGGTAAGGATTGAAACCTCATTCAGCCAAATAATGGGTTATTCTTATTTAAAGATATTCAGTAAATTAGATTTTTTTTTTTTTTTTGGTGCCAACAATTAGGAATACATACTTCCTGTTTCTAAGCAATTTCAGGTTTAATTAGGATTCTCTAAGCCCCATTTGTCTTAACAATTTGACAGCTCCAGCTTCCCCTTCCACACCCACACTTTTCCTTTTTTTACACTCTCCCCATTTGTAGTATTTTATTCCACATAAATGCCAGGAGGGAAAGGGAAGCAAGCTTAAGTGCCAATCAGATCGCTTGTTTCTTCTCTGGAACATGCCACTTTCAAGGCACCTGTGATAAAAGGTTATTTTCCCTTGACTGACAATTATCTCTAAGCTAATTATTAAAGTGTCATATTAAAATATGCATGTTTGGGGGACTTCCAAGGGAAGCAGTGATGAAATCCCCTGGAAGAAGAATGTGACATCACAGGAGTATGGTACAGGAGAGCGCCCTGTTTGTCCATTTAAATTAGTTTCATCATCCATAACAAGTGTTTAAAAAGCAGAATAGCAAGCGTGATGCATAATGCATTGTGTCATGATGCATAATAATTAGGACTGCTGCCCGCCACCCCATCTCCCAAGACTTAAAAATCTCTCCGAGTAAGCATTTTGTTCTAAAGGCTTTGACAAAAATGCCATTTAGGGACTTTCAAATTTACAGCTAGGCAATTTGTCATCATTTGTATGAGAGGGGAGAAGGTAAAAGGAATATAACACTGCATGGTTCATCACTTCAAGAACCTCCCAGTGAGGAAAGCCCCCGGGGCCTCGACATGGTAAAGGGATACCTGCCTGTCCGGGCAACACTGCCTGGATGGAGGCACCCCGCCCCTATGCGATGTGTTGTGTTCTTTTTTTAAAAAAGACAAAGTCACATAAGATATTTATCCCATGCTTTAACATTTGGTCTAGGAAAGCCAAAGTTAGGTGAAGGTTTAGACATCAATTTTCAGCTTCGTACATGTTCCTTCTTCTCCAACCCTGCATGGATGCTGAGGTTAAGAACAGGAGAACAATTAAAAATATTCTTTACTCTAAAATAGCACTTTTTGAAGATGTGATAAAATCTAAGTGAACAACTAAATTTAGATAATGTCTAAAACACAGCTGAACCAAAAATGGAAAGAGATGGTCTTCAGAATGAGACACTGTTACCTTAAAATAACCACATAATTATTTTATAAAAAAGAGCTTTTTCTAAATTTAAAATAAAATTTAGATCCAAAGTCCAAATGTAGCATTCCCTGTTGAAGTATGACAAGAAACCAGGATTTGAGGTCTGATAAACCGTACAGGGAGCCCATCTGCACAACATTCACCTACCCATTTGTGCAACATGGACTAAGAATCCTAAGGTATGTTGGATTCTTCACTGGGACCCAGGGCTATTTGCCCAAGAAAACCTAACTGAGGAATAATGCAGAACAGAAAGCTGATTATTTTAGGACTGGTTAGAAAGGGTTAATGTAAATAATTTAATGATTTATGGAGTCCAAAAGGCAGACTCAAGTGACCAGAAAAATTCTCTTTCACCTAATTTAACATTTTACCATAATTGAGCACACATTGCCTCAAACCACGGCACTGTGCTGCGCTGCACCCTGGCAGAGGAGATTTTCGGCCCGGTGTGACTCTTCCCCAGACAGTAGGGGCAGTCTATGTCACCAAAACTCATTATTGGATTTTCACTCTATAAGATGTTAAGTCTCAGAGAAAAAAACAAGGGCCGAATGCATAATGGTTATGTATATGTTTCCAGTTCCAGTCATACTTAGTGTTCATTGAGCCATAAATTTAGGAACATTGTGTTAATACCATGTAATTACTAATCCTCCCAAATTTCTAGTATTAAAAAAGAAACCCTTCTCAGTCAACTAACAAGATCACTGTAGGCCAGCCTATTAGGATATATCACTCAATCCGGCATGGATATATTGATTTGCATTGGCTTATCTGTGAATTTCTAATTTCTTCCAACATTCTTCTTATTAATACATTTGCCATAATGGAAACTCTCTAGAGCTAGGAGATAGGCCAGCTTGGTTTGGGTTCCAGCTCCTTCCAAATCATATTGTGCCTCATTAAAGAAGTCACTGTATATCTTCATTCCCCTCTTATCTTTTAAATAGAAGATTTTGACAGGTAATTACCAAAGGTCCTTCTATGTCTAACTAGGACTCTGGGGCCTTAAGTTCCAAAGAGCAGGATGTCATCATTAGGAATAGGATAAGGCAGGAAGTTGACAATTTGTAGAGAAAAATAATGTCTGTAGGGACATATAAATAAAGCCCCCTGCATGTGACCAGAACCAGAAAAACCTCTTGGGTAAAAAATTAGGGTCATACTCAGCAATCCCATTACTGGGTATTACCCAAAGGATTATAAATCATTCTATAAAGACACATGCACACGCATGTTTATTACAGCACTATTTACAATAGCAAAAACTTGTAAGCAACCCAAATGTCCATCAATGAAAGACTGGATAAAGATAATGTGGCACATATATACCATGGAATACTATGCAGCCATAAAAAAGAATGAGTTCATGTCCTTTGCAGGGACATAGATGAAGCTGGAAGCCATCATTCTCAGCAAACTAAGATAGGAACAGAAAAGCAAATACCATATGTTCTCACTCATAAATGGGAGCTGAACAATGAGAACACATGGACCCAGGAAGGGGAACATCACACACCAGGACCTGTCAGGGGTGGGAGGCAAGGGGAGGGAGAGTATTTGAACAAATACCTAATGCATGCAGGGCTTAAAATCTAGATGATGGGTCGATAAGTGCAGCAAACCACCATGGCACATGTATACCTATGTAACAAACCTGCATATTCTGCACATGTACCCCAGAACTTAAAGTAAAATTTTTAAAAATTAGGCTTATAGGAACCATTTTGAAGATGGATGAATAGGAAGAGCTCTGGAGTGCAGTTCCCAGCGAGAACGCAGAGGGTGAGTGACCACAGCATTTCCAAATGAGTTTTTACTGCCCACAGACAGTGGGAGATTCCCAGGCAGAAAAGCACCCTGAGTCTCCAGCATGGCTGTTTCACCCAGTGCAGCAGGACGCACCACAAAAACTCACACAAATCTGGGTGGCCAATTCAACTGGCCCCCAGAATGCCTGGGAGACACAGTCGCCCATTCAACTGAAAAAAAGGGGGCTGAAACAGGGAGCCAGGTGATCTGGCTCAGTGGGTCCCACCCCCACAAAGACCAGCAATCTGAGACGCTCTAGATTGAGAGTTTCACAGCAAGCACAACTGGACCCAGGATGGTCCAACTCTGTAGGGGAGGGTTGTCCACCATTACTGAGACAGTCCACCACTACTGAGGCAGTCCGCCATTACTGAGGCAATCCACCATTACTGAGACAGCCCACCATTACCGAGGCTATCTGCCATTACTGAGGCAATCTGCTATTACCGAGGCAGTCCATCATTAGGGAGAGAATCCGCCATTACTGAGGCAGACAGTCATTACTGAGGCAATTCTAACTATATCTCTATAAACAAAACCGCAAGGAAGTTCACACAGCAGCTGGGCAGAGCCCACAGCAGCTCAGCAACACCTTTGCTGGCAGACTGTGACTAGGTTAGCTCCTTGCTGGGCAGGACATCTTTGAAAAAAGACAGCAGCATGTCAGGAACTTACAAATAAAGCCCCACCTTCCCAGGACAGAGCACCTGGGAAAAAGAGGTGGTTATGAATTCCACTGCAACAGACTTAAAAGTACCTTTTCAGCAGCTCTGAATGGAACAACAGAGCTCACAGCTCAGCACTTGAGCTCCTATAAGGGACAGACTGTCACCTCAAGCAGCTCCCCGACCCCTGTATATCCAAAGAGACAACTCATAA